TCAGGAAAGGCAGCAGACGTTTATTCAAACACTCTTTCACGTAAATTTCTTGGTTGACAGTCCCGGAAGCTATGAAAATGCTGCTTTTCAAGCCACAGGTACAGATGGCTTGCCAAACCAGATATTTCTTTGCGAACTTTGACAGTTTCATGTGCTTGAAAACATCTGCTACCTTTCCCCTTCCTTTTGCCGTATAAAACTCCTGTCCCGGAAGCTGCTTGTAGTCGGCTTTGACGTAGGTTTCGTCGTCCATTACCACGCAGTCAAACTTCGTCAGCATCGTCGTGTACAGCCTCCGGGATCGCGCTTTGGCCGTCGTATTTTGTTTATCATCGCGATTTGGAGTCACTACCTTCTTGTAAGTCGATAGTCCGGCTCGTTTTTTGGCTCGATGCACGGTTGTAGACGATACACCCAGCTTATTTGCGGCATCTCGGAGAGAGAGGTTAGGGTTTCGCTTGAAACTACCGGCAACTCTCTTTGTCGTCTCAGCGGCTTCCGGTTTTCGATTTCCCCCCGATCCAGACTTCCTGGCTGTCGACAAACGTTCCCCAAACACTTTAATTACATTTGTAACGGTTGATTTGGCAACTTTTAGCGATTTTGCCAACTTTGCGTGCGAGTAGCTCGGATTTTCGCGATGCGCGAGCAAAATTTTGATACGCTGCTCTTCTTGCTTGGACGGCATTTTGACAACTGAAGAGTGAATTCCAAAATCAAAATAGGAACAACATTCTACACATACACACCTTCAAAATGAGGGGTGTTCAGGTTTTTTAAATGCAAAATTGAAAGAAATACGTCAAGTTGATATTGACCAAATTTTGACCGTATCACCCTTTATTACCATAGAGGTAACTCTAAGACCACTGGGTCCCGAAGAAAATCATTATTATTTTTGGCTCACTCAGTACCAGAACAACGGTCCCAAGCAGTTCCAAGCAATTTCACTCACCCCTGCATGTTCTGCATGAATCCACACACCCCTGATGTTATCTGTCAAACTTTCATAGCGAATCAAAACAAACATAGTGTAGTAATAGAATTTCAACTAGAATAGGGTACGTTAATCGTTTGCTTGGGACCAATAGGCTACTAAAGTGGTGAGCCAATTTAAAATCGTTAGTTTCGTATTGATTGTTTATATTACTGCGTTATTCTTGATTGGCTTCTAACCGGCTTGAAAATGCTAGTTAAAAAAAAAACCTTTGATAAGCCCCCTGTAGAGCTGGTCGAAAAAAGAAAGGCTGCATTATCCGATGTCAATCATACAAGGTCTGTAGCAGCAGGCAGCTTGCTGGTATTAGAAGCAGAAATCTGGATCAACATTAGAAAAGGGCCCATCAGCATTTATAAGCAAACCGTTCCAAAGCCCTTTACTCACAAAACGAAGGCCACCCACGCAAACCAACACCATCATCGGATAGGGGAAACTTTTACCTACACGATGATGGTGTTGGTTTGTGTGGGCAGCCTTCGATTTGTGAGGAATGGGCTTTGGAACGGTTTGTTTACAAATGCTGATGGGCCCTTTTTTATTGTTGATTCAGAAATGTTGTAAACATTGCTGCACAAGCGAATGACGACGTTACGTCAGCACAACATTCCATACTGCGAACAGCAGACGTGACATCACAGGCAACAGCTGTTTCGTGTAAAAAGATAAACTTTGGCATAAAATTTGATAACACACAAAAGAATTTGTAAACAATGTTTTTAAGGCCCGTTACCCGCGAATCAAAGTACGCCCACGCAAACCAATACAACTTTCGGAAAGGTGATGGTTGCCCATATCCGATGATGATGTTGGTTTGTGTGGCGTACTTTGGTTCGCGTGTGAAGGGCCTTAGAAAGTTTGTTTACAAATGCTTTTGTGCCGTTATCAAATGTTATGCCTGAACTCTTAGGTGAAATACGAACACCACCTTCCACATTCAACTGTGTAATACCAATAAGTCAGTTGGGCCAGACGTTGTATAATTGACATCACGCATTACCCTGGCAATTTACAATTTGCCTTCACTCTATATCTCTTTACTCTTATGGTAAAATCCCATCCGCAATCGTCAGTCTGTGCGTGAAACCTGGTGGACATTTCCTTACCTTTTCACTCCTATGAAAATCACATAAGATACTATCAATCTTTGTGTGATAAGATGGTGGCTCGCTGGTTCTATGGTGGAGTGAAGAGAGCTTGAGCCTTGAGCTTGAGCTTGATTGACCGCCCACGGTTGCTACTCTGTTATTGCCAGATCAGCTGTACTTACACAGAGAACCAATAGACGATGCTTGGGACTAGCAATCATCCTCAATGTGTAAAAAATTGTGATCTCAAATTAGGCAATACCAGCGCCGGCCGCGCCCGAACACAGGTCAAGAAAGGAAGGGGAAGGATTGTATTGACATGACACTCGCTTTGATGGAAGCCGAGAACACCTCTGCACTTCCACGAGGAATCACTGGGATGTTGGATAAGAGGGTTGGGTTTGCAGCAGGGTTCGTTTTGGTAAACGATAAGCTGAATTTATGTCCTAACGATCAGGAGCTTGGGATTAAACCCACGGTCTTCTGCTCAGTAAGCAAAAACGTTTGCCACTAGGCAGACGAGCACCTTTTTAATTATCGAGTTGCTGTTATTGTCACGTAGTCATATTATCAAATAAAACGATTGACGAATCTTGAATGTGGATGGGCCTGAGATTAGACTCATGATGTTCTGTTCAGTAAACAAAAACGGTTGCTCTAAGGCCACCGAGCCCCTCATATCACATCACACCGTTGTTCAAGTTGTTGTTACCAATCAAAACCGGTGCCGACGATAACAACAAGTTTCGCAAAATAGTTCTATGGTGGAGTGAAGAGATAAGACAAAGTCCGCTAGATTTCATGCACATATTTTCAGATGCATATGGGATTTTACCAAGGAGTAAAGAGTTGCAGGGTCGTCGTCAACGTCAATGCTTACTGAGCATGCAACGATATATCTGCTTTTCTTTCATGAGAGCTAATGTCACAAACGTAAACTTTTTCTGCGAATTTCCCGAGAATGAAACACCACTTGAGTCAACTACACGTAGTGCGCAAAACAGTCAGGTTCATTGAGTCATTTTGATATGAATATGAACTGCCATCTGCCTCATCATTCACTGCCTCGTGAGAGTCTGAATGATTGAGAGGTAAACGAGTCACTGACAGCCGAGCACTCAGTCAGTAGCTCAATCAACACGTTTATTCTACCGTGATGGTACCCAATATTTGTTTTGAATGACTGAGCGAACATTTCCTATGGAAAAATGACGCAATTACATGCTGTATGAGCGAAGGCAAGCGGTGTGCGTCGCCTACTCGTGAGTGACTGAATGTTTTTGTTGGCTCTTTCATTGCCTCGTCCTTTACTGTTTGGTACAAACGGTCTGCACAGAGCAATGGATTGAATAGTGCATTGAAGGAAACCCCACACGCATCAATATATTGACGCGAAGGGGAATTATTGACAATAATATTGATGATGTGAATTCAGAAATATTGTCAATCTCGATATATTGACGTCAATATAGAATGTATTGACAATACGATTATTGTCAATGAAAGTAATCGTGTAGGGTCCACTTCGCACTCAGCCTAGGCAGTCAATAATTTTACGCTCTGACTACAAATAAACTGTGTAGAGAGAGAGAGTCCCCCTATCTGATGGAATTGATGGCTTACATGGAATTACTTTGAGCTACAAGAAATATACTAAAGAAGCCATTGTTTACGTTTTCGACATTGGTCCTAATGAACGCACAGTGTCGATATCCCGACAATTTTGTTCAGACAGATCGATGCCCAACTATATCAGTTATACCACTGAGGCAACACAAAAAAAGAGGTCAACTTTTAGAAAGTTATTTTGCATGCAGTTCCACATATGTTATGTGGTCAAAGCCAGAGACGTTGAATAGAGACACACTTATACTGAAGCAAGAAGAGCCAAACGAACCGTCAAACGCTGAACCAAACGAGCAAAGTAAATAAACATTACTGTTCACTCAATTCACCAAAAAGGAGTATTGTTCTCATTGATGAAAAAAGTGTTTAATTATTTTCACTAAACATTTGATATCTGTTATTTATGTATTTATTTTTGATTCGATTAAATAGAGGAAATTGCTCTGATGTTGGCCTATGCATCTAAGATTGGGCCCATCGCTAAAAATCTACTGTTTATCATTTTTATCTAGATGAACGCATTATAGGGACGGTATTAATGGATATTTTTGGACGCTATTGAAAATTTAGTCGATTGCTGAATTTATATATGAGCTTAAATTAAAGGCATTACACCCATTTCCCCAACAACATTTATTAGTGATAAAAAACAATTTCGAATAGGAACTAATTATTTAGTTTAATGGTAATAAAAATAATTACGCTGCAAGCAAAACAGTGAAATATGACAAAAGTTATGCTGCCATGTAGCGACTGTCATCTCTTGTCTTCGCTTTATTTTTGCAAAACGTTGTCGCAAACTATATTTTTATTCAGTTCCGGTCGAACGTTTTTTAAGCCACTCAAAGAAACATGGTTGCCAGCGACATTGCCAAAAGATCCCTCAAAACCGTGCTGCTGTTTTGACAGAAATTTTTCTTTGCGCGTCTCTTTCAACGTCTCTGGTCAAAGCCAGTTTGGACAGAGGTAGGAAGACTGCAAGTATGAATATTATGTGGCATGTTTCCTGAGAGTAGCATTACACATTAGCTCAGATCATGCTTTTTTCGGAGTAAACCCAATCTGATTAATGACAAAAACTCAACCCATTCTTCTGCATTGTTCCGGTAGCACTATCCTTTGTACTCTTAACAAATTCTTCCACGATGCGGATGATGTCAAACACATCCTATTGTGATTAATCATCCTCTTCCTGAGCAAAAATTGCTACCCCACCACAGTAGTCGTTAGTGCAACATTTATAATCCCAGTATTATCCTCCTTTTCTACGCCACGTGGCTTTCACTTACCGAAGAAACAGCAGCAGAACACCAACGAGTACAATGTTATAAAAATCACTCTCACATCGGTCCGATCGAATATAAACTCTTTCTGCACATAGTTATTGCCCGGGTAGCTAAAGTTGGCCGTCGCAAAATCCTGGCCAACGGTGACCGACGCTGCCGCCCCGCTGGCCAGGACTCCGTATTCCAGCATCGATCCGTTGAACAGCGACGTCGGAAAGGAATTCATCACCAAACCACTACCACTACTGTTGTTGAGTCCGAAGCTGGAGGAGATCCCGACACCACCCACCACTTGACCAACCGGAACCGGAAGCAGTTCGGACCCATTGGCGATGCTGGTGTTCAGATAGTTCAGGCTTGCGTTGATAAATCCAGTCATACTCAACGAGCTGATGTTCGTATAGTCGATCAATTTAAAAGATGACATTTTCGGTATTCTTCTCTTCGTTTCACGTAATTAGAATCACTCTAGCACGGTTCGAATCGATTACTGCACTCACACAACCAACAAGTTTACCGCCTCACCACGGGACACACATGTTGCTCAGGATGATTAATTGTGGCGTAATCATTCGCCCACGATCCCTAAATTCCATTTCCATCCTCCATCCGAACGGCAACAACACCAACAACGCTGAGAATGGGCAAGCACGGATCCATTTGCGTGGGAAATGAATTTTTCCTGAATTCACTTATCGCACCCCGAGGATGCTTAGATGGAAAATGCGGCGAGGAAAATTTATTATACCTGTCACCATCTTCGTCTTATCGAATGTGTGGCGTTGTGGGTGGGAAAAGAACATTCGGTTCCGCCATTTTCACCAACCGTATCGCCATTGTAATCCGGCGTTTTGCGACGGGATCTGAAAAATGGAATTGAGAAAGGAAAAGAATTCAATCAAAAAATGCCGGATTCTGTTGGATCTCTGATGGGTGAATCATATCTGTGCGTGATATAAATGGATGCTGGGAATGTAAGAAGTGGATCTGAGAGATTATTCGGGTAATTTTGCATTTTTCGAGCGGCATAAAAATAAAATTCCTCTTAAATCCCTGATGTCACTTGAATTACACCGATTTCTATGCGCATCACTTCGCCAAGACGCCATCCAAAGGCAAATAACAGTAATCATAAAATTCGCTCAAACCTTCGTTATTTGGACTATTTTTGGCCAAATGGCATTATCGAATAGGATAATCGACAACCGAGATGGCAAAAGACTATAGTTTCTCCGATATATATCGGACACGAGCGGAAGTCTGCCTTTCCAGACTAGTGCACGGGTGTGCAAAGCACATTTATGGCAGAGCTTGATAGTTCAAACGGTCCGTAAAATGGCAGAAGTTTTTAATGGATGTTTCCCGTTTCGCGCCAGTGGTATTTTCGTTTACCTGAACATCTTTTTGCTGCATGGCATAGGAAATAATTATGCTCGCTACGTGCTAATGAGTTTCACGGAAAATTGAAACCCTAAAAGGGTGTAACAGTATTTAATTATTGGTTGGCCGTTTACAAAAACTTCCTGCTTGTCATGCCGTCACCTCTTCTCAGTTAGACCATAGATTGCTGCAGAGGCGTGATGAGTGGGTGGGATAGGTGAGACATATCGTACACACACAAATAATTGGGTTGGACCTTGGGTGGGACAGTCAAAGCTTTGTCCCAGCCACGATTTTATAAACAACATTGTTAAAAATCTGAATAAATCCTAAAATGATAAAATCTGACCCTTCTTACTAATAGGAATTCCAACTAAAGGGCTCAATATTTTTATTCATTTCAGCCCGCGTTTAGTTTCACGGCATTTACAAACCAGAACATCTTCGAAACCAGTCCAAAATTCCAAAAATATTCAAAAAGTTCTGTGATACCATAGTACCTTGTCCCACCCACATCTTTGAAGGTGGACGCGCTTCTGGATTGCTGACGCTTTGCCGCAACGCGTCAGATCCGGATCTAATGTGGGTGGCCCTTAATTGCCACGTCAACGCGTCGCTGGCAAGCGATGAAAGCGCCTGAAAGCTGACAGGATGAATGTCAACGTTCAAAGAGGAAACCAAAAATCAAGAAGGAGTTGAGTTTTGGGTAGACGGACGAGATCGTGGTAGGCCACGCTGCAAAGTTGACGTGTTTTGAAAATGTGAACCAATTCTGAAAAATTAAGTTTTAAAGTGCCCTGTTGTGTTTGTTGAGGAGTAGGCGTTATTTCTCAAAAAGAATATTCCGGAACTGATTTGCCGGCAAAATTGATACCTCTTTGGTGCGTAAAAAACCGTGAACTACTTGAGTAATGAGCTGGCGCTCATCGCAAGTCGGTCACATTTGCCGTTTTTGCTTACTGAGCAGAATATCATGGGTTTAATCTCTGGTACCCTAACGTTCAAGATTCGTAAGTTGCTTTCTTTTTCACAGAAGCACTTCACTTTAACTCACCGTACTGTTTGCCAAAACGAACCTTGCTGCAAACCCAACCCTATTATTCAACATCCCAGTAATTTCTCGTGGAAGTGCAGAGGATTTCTCGACTTCCTACAAATCAAGTATCAGGTTAACACACAAAATAGTAACTAGGGCAAAATCCTGGCTGCTTATTTGACGAGTGTTAGGTATGGAAATAATTTAAAAAGGAGTTGTTGTTAATTTTTAATCCACTTGAAAAAACAAAAACAATTTTTATTATGAGATGTTATCACATTTGCCCTAAACTGAAAGGCTCGCAAACGGCAACCAGCAAAGTTCTCACCAGAGGTGGCAACAGTACATTTTTTGAAAAACCAGCCTCCTGAGCAAAACAAAACAGCCAGCACACGGGTGGTCGTGTATTTCTACATTACAAGCAAACGGCGGAGATAGAGAATAGGAAAAATGTCGTAGCCCATTATTTTTCAAGCAGTTTATTGAAGTTACATTTTAGCTGCAAGCTTGCATATGACAGTAAATTATTAACTCCCTTATTTACGCATAATTGTAACATCTAAGCTTATGAGTGGTTTGTATTCGTTCTTATTTTATAATTCCATGCGATAAACATCAAATAATTGCTATAATTAGCAAGAAATCAGTAAAATTATCCATGACATAAATTTATGTTGCACGTGCCGCCGGTCTTGTCTGCTTCATTGTGCGCAAATGTTCTGTCGTTTAGTTTAGAAATGTCATGACATTTTTTCCGCTTGCCTGTTTGTGTTTGTGTGTCTTCTCTATGGTCATCGCGCAAAGTATCAAATGTTAAGGAAAAAAACGTTAAACTCCAGTACTCGTGCCACCACTTGTTCTCACCACTAATGTGTTCATGCTAACTTGAAGTTTCATCAGCCCATAGATTATATGATCGAATCATGCAGAATATAAAAACGTTTTTAACAATAAAAAAGTAAAAAAAATCTTTAAAACAAGCATTAACATAAAGATGTGGAGACTTTTAACCATCAACTAGTTGGAATTAAATACAATGAACTCATAAATATCTATTGACCATCGACCATTTTGTTTAGGTCTGCAGAGCGCTGTTACTGATTTTTTTTTTAATATAGCTCTAAATTATGTCAATGTTTAAACACTTCCTAAACATCATTTAAGGTATTTCAACTTTTGAGGATCGGGGCTTTAAATGTTCTAGAAGGTTATCAGAATATCAATTATCTATCTGAAAATATTATTTACGCTTCCGGTTTTATAAATTCCAAGATGGCGACTTCCGGTTTGTGGAAAACTCTCAAACACTCAACAATAATCGATGCTTGAAGATATCCTGGAATCGAGAATTGTAACTTCTGGTTTGTGAAAAACTGCCAAATACTCTACAATAAGAGTATTTTTGGAACTGGGATGACGTGTAGAGATGTTGGTGACTTCGGGGTCTAGCAAAACATTCCAAGTGCATTATCTTAAAGATCTTTTGTTATCAACTTTGCATGGGTCCCATTTCAGGCGGACTCGCTTGCAAAGGTGGGCGCTATGAAAGACGAAATTTACGATCGACAAATCGCCTACTACGAATTTTTCTTCATTTATCGTCAACATTCACTCGCCAATAGACTGAAGGGAGTTTGGGACGATGGTTATATTCAATCATCCCTGGTGTGGTTCAAGGAGTTGATTCGGGCGGTGTGTCGTCGCCTGCCTGCGAAATTCTAACGTGGACCTCGTGGTGTGGAATCGCTTTACCGGTATCATACCGTCCATCTCCTCGGCCTGAGCACCCGATCTGCCAAACGGGACCTTCCAGATGTCGCCATCCAGCCGACGCTATCCGGCCGACGCTATCCGGCCGACGCTATCCGGCCGACGCTATCCGGCCGACGCTATCCGGCCGACGCTATCCGGCCGACGCTATCCGGCCGACGCTATCCGGCCGACGCTATCCGGCCGACGCTATCCGGCCGACGCTATCCGGCCGACGCTATCCAGCCGACGCTATCCGGCCGACGCTATCCGGCCGATGCTATCCGGTCAACGCTATCCGGCCAACGCTATCCGGCGACGCTATCTGGCCAATGCTATCTGGAGGTCGCCATCCGATCCACGCCATCCAGTCATCGCCACTCGCAGACACTATCCAACCGACACTATCCAGCCGACCCTATTCAGCCGACCCTATCCAGCCGACACTATCCGGCCATTGCCATACGGCCATCACTCTCCGGGCATAGTCATCCGGCCGCCACCATCCGGGCATAGTCATCCGGCCGCCGCCATCCGGCTGCCGCCATCCGGCTGCCGCCATCCGGTCACTGCCATCCGGCCGCTACCATTTAGTTGTTGCATTTCGCCGTCGTGACTGTCACAGTCACCCAGCACCCCAGATCAGGTCGGTTCGTCTAGAGATGAACTAGCCTAAGGCTAAAAATCTCTTTAATAAAGAAAAAAAAAAAAAAAAAAAGAAAGGTCGGTTCGTCCAATAAATTAAATCAAGGTAAATCTTTAGTTTAGGACACCTACATCCGAAAACCTCCCCAACGCCTGAACATAAAACCCTGGGACCCGTGAATAAAAGAGGCCTTTGGAGCCCACCCCAGTGGCTGCCGACAGGCTTAGACCAGCAGCTAGGGGCTAAGGTACGTCCTCTTCTGGGACGGTGGAGAATTTCCCGGGATTAAACGGTCATGAGTTTCAGTTGATGTAACGTCGATAGGATTAAGTATATGTTTTAGAAATAATGAAATCATTAATCATAAATCGTTCCTAATTTCCTTTTCTCTCTCCCGATCCAATCAAACTCGAGAAGATCACGAGTAATCGGTCAAATCCTTTAATTTTAGATTTAATACATTTATAATGTAGAAAGAAAATGATAACTTAGCTCTGTAAAGTTTATTCGATTGAGCCTGTACAAATAAAGTAATTAACAAAAAAAAAAATGGCCGCCTCATTTTCCATGACTCTGGTGCACAAATTGGGCTGAATTACGTTGATGGCTTGAGAAATGTTGGCTTTGAGAGCATCGGTGGTTTGCGTGGTTTGCAGCTTAATGGCATAGACCTGCGAGTAAACATAACCCCACAAATCGCTCATGCAAGCAGAATATCGATTGTTTCGTGCGCTGTGTGGCACGTTGCACCGTCCTGTTGAAACCATATATCATTCACATCCATATCGTCCACTTTAGGCCAGAATAAGTCGGAAATCATCGACCTGTAGCGCTCTCCGTTGACGGTGATGGCCTCTCCAGCGTCGTTTTCGAAGAAGTACGCACCAATGACGCCTCCGGTCGAAAATTCAAACCAAACAGTGGCTTTCTGGAGATGAATTGCCACTTGGTGAACCTCGTGTGGATTGGCCTTGTCCTAAATTCGAAATGGGCCTCGTCGCTGAAGAAGATTTTTCGGGCAAAATCAGCGAACACATGGCGCTGTCTGAGAT